AAAAAGACTGGTGATCATAATACCTCCTTTTACACAATGATTGTGCCAATTGATACTTCAAAGTTTTGCCAATCACCATGTTCCAGTTCTCTGCCATCCTATATGATGCTGTGAAGAACAACCCTCTTGTCCATGCCCCCACACCCACATCCTTCCTGTCCTAACCCTCAAGGTCCACAATGGCTCAGTAAATGGGGGCAGACAAGGCCATTAGTACAGGATTTGGGATAAGAAAACATATTTCCTGGCTGTGTTACCTTGGGCCTCTGTTTCCTCATAGGAGGCAGGGATAATCATACTTCCAGAGAATTGCTGTGGGCAAAATGAGAGGAGAGAAGCAAGTGCTCTGCAAAGTGGGAAGCCATGTTGGGTTAGCCAGTCTGTTATTGGTGGGGGTGGAGAAGGTAGGAGAGTCGAGGGGGGGGATGAAAAGCAGAGGAAGGAAGAAGAGGAACCGGCTCTGGGAGGCAGCAGGCAGGCCTTGATGTGCCAGTGGCCCCAGCCCGAGGCCCCCTGAGGGTCACAGCAGCAGGCTTGTCTCCCTGGGAAGTGCCCTGCTGCGGGGTCAGGAGACCCACACAGGCCCACCTCCGTGTGGATGCTGGCTGTGTGGTCAGGGGTTAGAACCCTGGCTCCACATCAGCATCCCATGGGGAGCGTTACCAAGTACCAACCAGATCCCCACATCTCACCAATTGCATCTGACTCTCCGGTGTGGGAGGTAGGCCTGGGAACAGCAACTTTGAGAACCTCGACCCTCCAACTCTGTGTGACTCTTGGACTTTTTTGCTGTCATTTCTTCTCACTGACCACAAGATGGTGCTCTCTTTCTGGGAAAGCTCTGATGTTCAACAGACAATTCATTTTCTTTATGAATCCTGAAAGAGTGGGTTTGAAATTAACAATCTTCACAGCATCTCATTAAGCCAGAATTCTGTGCCCAAGTTGTCCAGCCGTGTAACGTATACACCTTTCCCTTCTGCTAGAGACCATACCGGCTTAGGACAGGTCATCTCCTGTTACAAAGCAGAGTAGGCATTTCTTGCTGCTTTCTGATCAAAATCATTACAATCAATAACAACTAACATTCCTTTCATCTTTTACCATTTGCAAAGTGCTTTTTACCAACTATCCTCGGGATAACTTTATGAAATGGTTATTATCGTCATTTATAGATAAGAAAACCGAGGCTCAAAGCACTAGTTCAAGGTTACGAAGCAAAGAGCTGGCAGAACCAGATTCAGGGCCCTTCCCACCTACTTGGATAAAGAGAGGGGTGCATCAGGGAGACCAGCTCTCAATGGATGCGGCCCCGACAAGTACAGCCCTGAGACGGGAAGCTTCTCAGACAGCCTCTGCAGCCTTCCTGAGCGGGCTTGGAAGACAGGCAGATAGATGTCCTTCTGGAGTTTCACACTGTCACACACGACAAACAGGTCAGTAGACGATGCATCTGACTGGGTTCAGTGAGGAGCTGAGGTGACAAATGTGAAGTTTCTAGCACAGAGTAATAAAGAGGCAGCAGAGACTCAATAAGAAGACAGACTGGATTATTTTAAATTTTCTGTTCCAGGAAAATGAACTGCTGTGCCAATAAGAAGAATCTGCCTTAAAGAAAAATTTAACAGACAGACTCATCTCCAAAGAAAATCATTTTCTACCAGCCAGTGATGTCTTACGAGGCTAGTGGATCTGAGGAAGGTTATGTATGAGATCAGAGATTTACTACTAGAGTTTCATAATCTATCAGGAACCCAAATGTCAGGACCCAGGACCCCAAGTCCTCTGGGTGTTTTTATTCCAGATGAAGGGGTTGCAACTGTAGGCTCAAGTTACTTGGAGTAAGAAGAATGTTTTTCAGGACAGAAGCAGTTACATTAAAGTTTATTAAGTCAGTATTTTGAACACTTTACTGACTCCAGTGTACATCTTAGCAATTCAGTATGTTGTTGGACCCCTTTTCTCTACCTCAGCTTCACTGTCTGCAAGTGGTATAACAGTACCTATCTCATAGAATTATTATAAGGATCAAAACAGTTTATTTATAAAGCACTTAGAACCATGCCTGGCACATAGTAAGCACAATGTGTTTCTTAAATAATGCTAAATAAATAAATGGATATGAGTATGTCCATTTACATATTTTACAAATAAAATTTTAATTTTCCAAATTCCAAGTAATTTTTAAATTATGTTATTTGTACACCTATAGGTATACAAAATATATTCAGAGGGCATAAAATAATGCCTTATGACTAAAACTTGAAATCCCACTGAAAATGCATAAATTTGATTAGAACAGTACTAGTCTTTGGAGACTTGTAAACATCAGAAATAGGTTAAAAATTCTTTAAGTCTACCATGTCATTATTACTGATGTTAACAGATAAGCCTATCCATTGTCTAAAGAAATACAAGAATAATGCAGTGATGTTTCTCTCTTTTTAAAATGTGTTTCTTTTCTCCACTTGATTTCTTCTAAATTTGGAAATTAGTGGTCATTTTGGAGGCATTTTCCCAACAATAAAAACCTTCAGCATGACCCTTGGTCACCTCTTAAGTGAATGGGAGTATAACACAGCAACAGTCAGTTCAAACCTCATCTTCAAGTACAAATTAAAAGCAGTTCAAAAGAGAGACAGAGCATCTGCTCTAATCCCAGGGAGAAAGACTGGAATGCTGAGATGGCAACTGGGGCAGGACTTGGAAGAAAGAAAACATATATTAAAATGTTGCTTTCCAATCTAGGAGTCATTTCCTCTCATTTTGGCATTAATATCCTTTTTAGTAGAACTATCATATTGTTTCTTGGTAACAGGTTTTCCTGAAGGCTTTTGCTTCTTTTTCTTGTAGGCTCTTTTATGAAACAATTTCTGGAGAGGAGATGGAAATAACACTGTACCATTTCCAGGTACCTCCTGATAATCCCTCCTCTTTCCTTCTGGTACTTAGGCCGATATAACAGACCCTTACACTGTCTCCTCATCCCATCCCCACAGACCCCACTCTCAGCAAGCCCCTTCCACCATGGCCTGTCCCACCAGGTCCAGGAAAGGGGGCCTAGAGGGCAGGAGAGAAGTGCAGACATGATCTGGGTACTCAGGTGGATCTCGAACTATAGTTTTACCTTGCAGCAATGGTATTTTACAAGGAGTTTAAGTTGTTTAGTACCAAAATTATAAGGCATTTGCACTGAGAATTCCATAAGCTTCTGTACATTTAGCCAGGGCCCTAACTAACATCACATTATTGTTTCTATGGAAAAATAAAATTCTCATTTCAAATACCTGACCTCAGATGAACTTGTACAACAGAACTTGAGTGGGGGACTATTCACATACTCCCACACACTCGGGGACAGCTCCTCTTTCTATCAAGCAGACTACCAGTCAGTCTGTCTTGCATTCACACTGTCTTTTTATTAAAGGATAACATATCTGGCAAAAACAAAAACAAAAAAAACCTGTGAAAACAAAAAGCTAAGATTGAAAGACTAAAATTAAATATTTTATACTTACTGAGTTCAAAGTAATGGTTCTGTTGTAAATTTATTGAACAAAAAAGAATTACTCTTAAAAATGATCTTGTTTTTATAGAGGTAGTATGGTAAAAAACATAGTTCGTGAGTTTTGTAGTTGTAAACTATGAATCTCCAGTCAAGCTACTTTTCTGAGCCTCAGTTTTCTTGTCTATAAACAGGGATGGTTATATTTGTCTCTTGAGGATTATATTTTTATGCAAGATTTAGAAATTTCTAGCAATAAATCTGGCACAGTGGTTATTTCCTGTCCTTTCTCCCTTGTAACCTGTTTAACATCTTTTTGAACTCACTGTTTCACTTCAATAAAAATACTTTCAAATCACATTTAATTTTCAGAAGTTTTAATTTAAATTTTTCTCTATTCTTGGGTACCCTACCTAGCCATCTGATTGACTGAGGTTAATGTCCAAAATAGACTAGTATGGGTAGATTATTAACTTATAAATGACATAGTTTCAAGAGTTTACTTATGTTGATAATTGTAATCATTTATTTAAACTGACTCACCTGTGCCAACTCTCCCAAAATTTTTAATTTTCACAAGATTTGTGCATTTCAATTCTTTTCTTTTCTCTTTTTTTTTTCTTGAATAGGGATTTAGACTCTTGTAACAGCCTCAACCAAGATTCCTTCTGTGAGTGACAGTTAGCAAAGTCAGGTTGTACTGGAATGAGTCAAGGAATGACTTCCATGGAGGGCAAATCAGATTTCATTCAAGTAGATTCGTCAAGTGACCATTCTTTCCCATTTACCCTTAAGCCCATCGCACTGCAGAAGCAGAGGCAAGGGTGGGGGTGACATCTGTGAGCAGAGCAAACACACGTGAGCAGCGGGAAGGAGCGGGGTCCACGGGGTCTTATGGCCTCAAGGGAGCAGAGTCCATTCTGCTGCCTAGAGTGTCCAGGTCGCTACCCCTCCCGACACTCTACTGGTCCCCACTCCTGGTGCTTGTCTTCCGGGCTGTCAGAGTTGGGGGAATCTGCCTGTCAGTTGAATTTGACACCCCTGTTTCTTATTCTATCTATGGTTTCATAATCCTTGATTTTTTTCAGTCAGCTGTGTGTCCACTGGAGATCAGGTCTTGCCTGCAAAGCTTGAACTCAGGGTAAAAAACACTCTCTGCTGTAAGGAAGCCTGAAGACTTAGGTGATTTAAAGTAATTTACAGCCCCCAACAATCACAGAGATAAGTCCATCAGAAATCTTTTTCTGTTTTGAATTGAAATGTTGGTTTTTTTCTTCCACTCTCATAAAGATGTGTTTCTATCATGTGGCTACCAGGTAGCCAAAAGCTCACAGATGTCCAGACACCCTGTGCTTACTGAGTGTGTGTGTATTCAAGGTTCATTCAGGTAGCTTAATATGAAACCAAAATGCCTGGTCCTACGTTCAGCTTGATAAGAGTGCTGATTTTAATTTTGTGATGTAGAAATAAGGCCAAAAGGCAAACAGGCAAAAAGTAGACCTAAAAATGGCTTTAACTTACTAAACCACTATATCTTTGACAGCAATTTTAGATAAAAATGGTCCAGAGGACAAAGTGCATAATTAATAATGAGAAACTGATTCCTTCAAGTCCCATAATAAAGAGTTCTCCCTGCAGTAATCATTTGTCCAGAGTTTTATTCACGCAAAAGTGACGGTTACTTCTTGCTTCTATCTCCTTCATTCCAGTACTGTTCAGTCTGCATTTCTGTGAGTCGGGAAATTGTGCGCTGAAATGCAAAGATTTCCTCTTCTCCAGTAAACATGGCGAGTCCTTCTGCTGAGTCCTAATTACCAAATAAATAAAACAACAATCCAGCACCAATTAAAACCTTTGCAACTGAAAATTTAAAGAACTAAGTACAAGTTTAAAAAATACTTTTTGAGCTTAGATTATAAAATATTCTACAAATTTTTTTCATTAAATTAGACTAAAGAATCAACTAATTTTACCCAATAATTAGATTAGATTAGAGAATCAGCTAATATAAGTTAGACTAGAGAATAAACTAATTTAAACCAGTGATCAATAAGCAGAACAAATTACCAGAAAGAAAACATTAGACGAATAATTAAAGCCGAAACAACACCCTAAAATCCAGATAAGAAAACTTGCTCAGATGAAAGTTCTCTATAAAATCTAAAGGAAGGACATTCCAGACAGAAAAGGAATTCTTTCTCAAAAAGTGCATGCCCGAAAGAAGTAACATCAGGACCACCCTGGTGGCCCACGGGCTAAGACTCCAAGCTCCCACTGCAGGGGGCCTGGGTTCCACCCCCAGTTAGGGAACTAGATCTGTTATGCCCAAACTAAGACCCAGCACAGCCAAATAAATAAAAGTAAATACAGATTTTTTTTTTTTAAAAAAGAAATAAGCAACAACAAAATCCAGGAGTTCTGGTATATCAATATGCGGCTGAGACTCTCCCTTGAAGCTTCACAGTCAGGGCCGTTCCCAAGGGGAGGCCTGAGGGCTAACCTCTTTTTCCAAACTGGGTGACTGAGAGGTCTCCTGGGACCTGGAGATTGTGTCTGGGAGTGAGCTTTGGGAAGGCCAGAGCTGTGGTCTTGAGCTGCTGGGACACTCGATACTCCCATGAAGCGTTATTGGGGAGCCCTCCGTGAGGCTAGTAAATAACCTGGGACTGGTGATTTCAACACAGGCTATAGCCTGTAAGTAAACACTGAATCTTGTCTCTTTCCTTAGGAGTTTGCTATTATACTCTCTCAGGGAAAAGTTCTGCACTCCTAAGTCCAAATTACTGACCCACTATAAAACTGCATGACCCTATAACCACATGCCAGGACTTCTTCATGTATTATTGGCCCCAAGTGCTGACTGTACTTTGCCCTATATCTGAACTCTGATCAGAAGAAAAATTCAAAAGCCAATGATTTAAAGAATTTCAGAAACTGAGATGAAGTAGCCCCTTAAGTATATTCTTCCAAATTGTCAAAAGACACTATTTGGATATATTGCTCTCAGAGAAATGGGATCATAAGCAGCTATGTATCTCTACATGTAGATTTAAAAATCATATTTTGAAAGTTCACTATTTAAATAATTATTGGCCTCATTTCCCCAAGCTCCTGAGAATGCATAATTTCAACTCAGGTCAATAAGGAACTGTTTCCTCATTCCAAATGGTCTTTTACCACTGGGGTTGAAAGAATGGGGCTCCCCTCATTTGGGGGGGGTGAGTGTTTATAGTTTTAAATTTTTTACTAATATTTCAGTTATCTAGAGTTGAGAATATACCGTGTTAAATTCATACAGAAAAAGGAGATGCAAAGCCACTTCTGTTTGGCCTGGAGTGAACCCCCCAAGCTCCAGGAGAACTGGGCCAGCATCAGCCGGTTTCCGACACGGTGTCCTCAGAGCCTGGCACCCAAAGGTGCTCCACAAATGTCTGCAGAATGGGGTTAGGAGATGAACCGTGGATTTCTTTTTAAGCAAAGGACCTTGTGCTCTACAGATTCAGCAGACGTGGAGGAGGATACCCAGAAAAGGCAACAAGGCATTGCTGAGGGAGTCCAGAACCAGACACGGGTGCCCGGGGGCCAGCTCTGGCCTGCCACTGCTCAGTGGGGTAACTGCAAGCCCACTAGTTCACCTCCCTGGACTTGGCTTTTATCACAAAGATCCCTTCCACTCTAAGGCTATTCTAATTCTCTATATTTACTGATGTTGAGGATATGTCTGCTATACTGGCTTTAGAAGAAAGCGGTGAATCAGTGGTTAAATACATACTGCATTCCTTCTTTAAAACGTAGCCATGCATCAAACCAAAACAATTAAGTTGTTTTATAATAAAAAGAGATTATGTTAATATCACCTACCTGGCTCAGCCCCAAATCATCCATCAGTATTCTGCTTTGCTCCAACTCACTGTCATGATGATCATAGAAAAATAAGCTTGATATAGGAGCTGATGCAGAGCAAATTATACGCACCTGAAACAGAAAACAAGCAAATGGTGTTACTCCTTACCTTTAACAAGTTGAAGGCAAAAACAAATTTCTCATAAAATAAAAATCTGCCATAAAGGGAGCTTAAGATTTTTGCTTTTAAATGGTTCTAAATATATGCAGCAAAATTGGTACTTGGTGAAAATATACTTTTACGAGCTTATAGAATGTGTATTTATAAAGAACAATGCCTTGAACTCCTCTCTTTCAATCTAAGTAACAGTCTTAACTTCATTTCTCCTTCTACACATTTTCTCTAAGTCCTAGCTTTATTTTAGAAAAAAAAATATTTTAAAAGCTTCAATCTATCACATTTTCCCCTGTTTCATTAATCTGTTTTTCTAATTAGAGATTTCACCTAAATATCCAAAAGTCACCATAAAGCTACTAAAATTTTTTTTTAATCTACATGTTTTAAAGTCCACAAAAAGAGCATAAGCAAAATGTGGTTGTCAAAATTTCAAAACTGGCAGGACCCACCTGCACTGTATCTTCTTCATTAATGAAAAAAATTGTTGCATAAATAAGTGAATATAGCATTTCTTTAAAGTGGATTTCAATATTTGGGAAACTCTTTTTTCTATTTCTGGAATATCTCTAAAATGTAAATAGACACACCACATAACCTATAGTCAGAGACCCTGGGATCACAGATGTTTCCAAATGTATTTTTGAAACAAAATACTTTTTTTAGGAAAACCTTTTGACCATTTTCATACTTTTTCTAATAGTCTCTTTAAAGTGCTATTTTTAAACTGCACAGTACTTTACAAATCCTTCCACACAGCTTACACCGCCTTCTGAAGTAGGGAACAAAGGTTTTATGGGGCAGCTCCAGGCCTGAAGAGTCTCAGCTCGTGACGCCACTCCTGATCTCTTCCAGTTCTAAGCCCAGTGGCTTTTCCATTACCTCTGAGGTTGACATTTTCACTTGACTGTGTGAAGACCATCTCTGTGCGCATCAGAGATGCTCCCCCGATGCACCGTTACCCTTAGCTGCACATGGGACAGCTAAGTCCAGTGCACTGCTCCTCTAATTACACCCTGAGTTACCAGAACCTGCATTTATGCCAGCATCCAGCCAGACATCCTTGAAAAACACTAAGCTTGGCACAAATACGTCTTGATTATGTGTTTGAGTGAATGTCCATATGTAATCACACACCAGAAACTGCTTTCAGAACTTAATAAATTTTATGTTCACTAGTTTAAAACATACTCTTCCTGATGTTTAGGGCTTTCCTGGTGGCTCAGACGTAAAGTGTCTGCCTGCAATGTGGGAGACCAGGGTTCGATCCCTGAGTCGGGAAGATCCCCTGGAGAAGGCAATGGCAACCCACTCCAGTACTCTTGCCTGGAAAATCCCATGGATGGAGGAGGCTGGTGGGGAACAGTCCATGGGGTTGCAAAGAGTTGGACACAACTGAGCGACTTCACTTCATTCCTGATGTTTAAGGAGACCTGAATTTGTTTTCAGAATTCACAGCCATCCTTTTAAAATCATTATTTAAGTAAATATGCTGATATCCATGGACACAGGAGCCTGGGGGGCTACAGTCCAAGAGGCTGCAGAGTCGGACATGACTGAACACACATGTGCTATCAATACGTTAAAACAATGTATTGATGTTTGGGACTAGTCTTTCCATATACAAACGACCTTCTACCTCCTTTTATAAATTATTTTAACCACAAATGACACTTTTTTCATTACTTAGATGGAAATGTCCTTATTTCACAGACTTCTATAAATACATTCTAAAACAATGTCTGTTTAATGCTTCCAATTTCTGAAATAAGAATTTCGGCTACGTTTTTAAAAGAGTATAAACTTTAAATGTGTGCTTTAGTTAAAGCAAATGTTAGGAGAGTAGTTCTGACATTCCATCATATTGCCAGAAAAATCTTTTTGTCTAATAAAGAAGTAAAACGGTGTGGGGAGGTAGGGTCAGGGGTGGGGCTGAGGGGTAGGGATCATAAGCTTTCAAAAATGAGAGTTTATCAATCTGCCACTCTAGGAACCACCTACCAGTGCGCCCCTCCCACTTTGTTCTTGAAGCACTGCCCTCTGAAAACAGAGTGCTACCTCTGGGCAATGTATTCCAGACCCCATGTGATTATTTCAGAGCAAGAGTCTCTTGATGAGTAATCCACAAGGAGACAAGTAACAGACCCTGATCGCCAGCCCTGGTGTTCTCAGCCTCCTGCTCACAGGGCCCCCTGAGAGCAGGCAGCAGATTCTGACGGCACTCACTAAGGCAGGTTGCCTTTCATGCTCAGGCCCATCCCAGGGCCTGTGCTGCCAACTCCCCGCTCTGCACGTGGAGCCCCACCATCACAGCTCAGTGTTTATGAGCAGCACCCGAGCAGCTGGTGAACCAGCAGGCTCCAGGCCCCGTTCCTGGTCTTCATCTGCTGGTGTGGGGTGGGGTGAGCTCGGGAATCTGGATCTTAGGGAGTTCAGATGATTCTGGTGCAGCTGGTCCTCAGAAGGACTTCCTCTGCCTGCCCCCAGGTCACATACAAAGATCAGTCCACTGTTCCCCTGGACTCTCACAGCACCAAGTCCCCTCTCTCTCCAAGAGAACATCCCACAGTGTGGACTTTACACTCAGTTCTGTGTACATTTAATCAGTCTCTCTTCAACACTAGACTATCAGCTCCATGAAGGCAGGCAGCATGCCTAGCTTTACTTGTCACTGAATTAGCCCTGTGCTTGGCGTGAAGATTGCAGAATGAACGAATAAAGGAAACATTAAAAATCTCACCTCTCCCTCCCCGCAGATTCTGGTAACTTCTCCTCCCCTCAAGGTCCCTTCAATTTTAGAATCATTGCTCTATTTCAGTACAAGGAATAAGGAGGGAAAACTGTACCTAACGGTAAAACAATATTTCACTCTAACTTGAGGTGGTACTTTAACTTTACTGTAAGTATATTTACAGGTATATATTATTATCAGTGGCTCATTGTTGTTCAGTCATGTCCAGCTCTTTTCGAACCCATGGACTGCAGTATGCTAGACTCCCCTGTCCTTTACTATCTCCTTAAGTTTGCTCAAATTAATGTCCATTGAGTCAGTGATGCTAGTGGCTTACCTTCATTGAAAGCTTACTGTATGCCGCACAATGTTCTAAGTATTTTACCTGCTCATTTCATCCTCACAACAATCTTACGAGGTAAATACCATTATTATCCCCTTTTTCTAAAAAAGGCAATTCAAGCTAAGTTGGTCTTCAAGGTATTCAGCCTGGTCCTGGGGTCCACTCCTTAACCACTAGGCAATAATGCCTCTGATGAACAGATAAAAGCTCGGCGACTCATACTAGTAATAAGATACCTGGGTTTTTATTGCTTGTTTAGGGACAATGATAGTTACTGGGGTTTCCAAGTCAGAGAGAAAGAAAACTCTGAGGATGGCCCTTGAGTCATTCGTTCTTTCATTTTGTTCATTCATTATTTCATCAGTCCAATAATTTATTCATGCAACAAATGTTTACTGAACACTCTATCTAGGTAAGGCATTGTGCTGTGCATCCTCACAGACAGAGCACATGATATGTCTAGGTGAATGATGGGATTGGGAATATAGCAGAGTGTTTTATGATGGGAGTTTTAATATAGTATGATTACTATGACTGCCACCACCAATAGTACTTGTTCAGCATCAGCTTGTGCCAAGTGCTGCTTTAAAAGGTTTCCCTGGATTAGTTTATTCTGTCCTCACAATAATTCTCTGAAGTAAATACCACTTCAGAGTAGTTATCTTTGATTTGTATGTGACAAAACTGAGACACAGAGAAGTAAAGTAAGTGGCAGACCAGGATTCGAGCCCAGATAATCTTGCTCTACAGTCCAGAATGTTTAGTTCTGAGTAAATGTACCATATCCTTACCTTGAAATCATAAAAGTTATCAATGAGAGTTATGAATCTCCGAGCTTGGGTCCTCTTTGCCAGGGTAAATTGTGGAATGTTTCGTAAAAATACTGTGTCAAAATTCTTTGACAGTTCCAAATAGTCACTGGCTCCAAGTGGCTATAATTAAAACGGAATAGAGAACAGAAAATTGAAATAAGTCAATTCTGGTTGAAAATATCTCTTTTTCTCATCACAATGTGATCTAGGTGTAGCTTTGAGGTAACTTGACCAAACACAGTGGTGTTTTCAGAGCAGGCTGAGGACAGTATTAAGTAGGGATATTAATACTTAATAGGGATATTAAGAAGGGAGGAGAGAAGACAAGCGCACGGTGGGACATGAAAGAATAATTCTAGACACCTCAGCTGGTATCCTGTAGGCCCACAACCTAAATCTGGTCTTCACTCTTTTTATTTATATGACATGACTTTAAACATGTTCAAACGAATCCTTCCTATGACTCAACTGCAAACTGTCACTACTGGTAAATGCAGCTGTCTTATCGCAGCAGCTGAATATTATGTCACTACTCTGAAATAAAGACTATGCTCCAGTATAAAAAGCATCAGACAATATTTCTTGTTTAATTTGCGGTCCAATTACTGAAATACAATGTAGTAAAACACTGCTAACCTCTGTAGGCAATACCAGAGGGATTTCAATCAGAAGCAGAGCGAGCCCTCGAGCACAGCCTGGCGCCCCTGTTACCTCCCCACACAGGCAGGATGCAGCCCTCGGGGTCCACAGGACCGTCACAAAGGTGCTGCCTGCAGGTGTAACACGCTTGTTCCTGAAACATGAAGGTAATTCATGACAGTTATGAAAACAATCCACACATTCTCTGGGGTCAGAAACACCCCCAGGAGAGTCACTTCTCATTTTAAGTTGGGTGTGAATGGCTGTACCCTGTGAGCAGGAGCCATGGGCAAGGGGCAGGAGAAAGTTTCTGGCCCTGGGAGAATGCAGAGACACTCAAAGGCCAGGAGCTGCTCTTGGGTCCCTCTGCAAGCTCTCAGATCCCAACGACTGATCCCTGGGACCCAGAGAGCTAAGCCTCTTCAACTTCTGGCAGAAGTTATCACTACTCCTCCCTGTTTAACAACGTCTCCCTTGGACTGCCCTGGTGTCTCAGTGGTAAAGAATCTGCCTGCCAAAGCCGGGGACACAGGCTTAATCCCTGATCCGGGAAGACTGCACATACCGGGGAGCAACTAAGCCCATGTGCCACAACTATTGAGCCTGTGCTCTAGGGCCTGGGAGCCACAACCGGAGAAGTCCACGTGCCCGAGAGCCTCTGCTCCACAGCAAGAGAAATCATCGCAATGAAAAGCCCACGCACAGCAACTAGAGTCGCCCCACTCGCCACAACTAGAGAAAAGCCCTCGCAGCAATAAAGACCAAGTATAGCCAAAAATAAATAAAATAAATAAATAATTTTTTTAAAAAAAGAATGTCTCCATCGTTGGGGTGGTTGTTTGCATTAAAACTTCTGCTTTTAGAAATGTAGATACAACTATGTTCCTGGGAGAATCAGGCAACTGCAAGGAGGGGGAGAGTCATCCTCACCTTAGAGTCCACCCTTTATACATGCCACTCTCCTAACAACTAGCTGAAATCAATGATGCTCAGAAAACTTTTCCTGCAGCTGTGGGGCGGTAAGAGTAAATTGGAGAGGGAGGCTTTGGGGAGGCGGTTCCCTCAAGAAAAGCAGCTCTAAGAAGGATGGGCAGCAACTACGAGCCCAGGGGCACACCACCAGAGCGTGGGCACATGGAACAGATGACGCCTTGAAACCTTAGAGACGCCCCGTCTCCCCTCTCCTCCACCAACCAGTAACAAGCGGGGCCAGAGATGACCTCGTGTTTCCCCGTTGCCCTTCGCTGGCTGGATAGCCTCTGTCTCTAGACCCAGTGTCTGATCTCAGCTGAGACTCACCACTCACCTCAGCCACACAAGGGCGCGTGTGTATGTGTGGTTTGACGCTGCGGTCAAGCCTGATGTGGGCCAGGAGGGTGTGTTAACAGCAGCTCGGAACAAGAGCTCTGCACAGCCTGGGTCTGAATCCTCAGTCTGTCACTTATTAGTGATGTGTCTTTGGCAAGAAATCTCATCTTTCTGTCCCTTAGTTTTCCCATCTGTAAAATGGGAATTGATTCCTATCTCACAAGGTTGTGAGGATTAAACAAAATAATACATGTATATTGTTTAACACAGCACCTGGAACAGACATTACCACTCAACTCACTCTTGCTTTCCTCACTACCCCTGATTACATCCAAAAACCCTAAATCAGCCTTTGTGCTTTTTCCTGTCCTCACAGTCACAGCAGGAACCAGATAAGACTGTGAAATCCTATATAATGAAAACAATTCCCGAAGGGTTGTGGGGGGAGGCAAAATACAGTGTCTTCCCAGAAAAAGGAGAACTCTACAATAAGACACTCGTGTGCTCAGAGTGACACACACTACTTTTTGGAGATCAGTTAGAATTTAGTGTCTCATCTTTTGCAAATCAGAAAGTATATTTTTTTAAAAAAATGTAAAGCCTCATTTTAGGTATGCAGTTATATATAATTAAGCTCACTCTTTATGCATGGATATGATTTCTATCAGTATAACTACATGCCCAAGGAAAATCATTATCAGAAGTGCACTGAAGTGCCTAGGGCAGCTGAAAATCAGAATTCTGCCCACTCAGCTATTTTAACAAATTATATACCTTTGTCAGTAGGCTCTGCATTTGCCATTAGGCTGGCAAATATCCCTTTCCTTCAAATCCCTAAGATAATTATGTGCTCATTCATATAAAGAAAACTAAGCTTAACACAGTTATCTATCTCCTTTAAGAACAACAGTCATTGGGGGGCGGGGAGTTATTGTTTAATGGGTACAGAATTTTAGTTTAGGATGATGCAAAGGTTCTAGAGATGGAGTGTTGTGATGTTTGCACAACATGAGTATAATTAATACCACTGATCTGTATACTTTAAGAAAATGATTAAAATGATATATTTCATGTTATGTATTATTTAACCACAGTCACAAATAGTCTTTAAATAAAGGAGAGCTTATTAGTTGCAAAAGAAATTTCAATTTAGGCTATCGAGAAAGTACTATCACCTTTCTCTTTAAAATCATGAAAAAGAAGAATGAAATGTATTAATCAAAGAAGGATGTCTTTTCCCCAAAGAAATCAGCTCCAGAAAGGTTAAAATTAATTTAAAATAAAAAGGTCTTTCTTTTTTTTAAAATAGGTATTTAAAAGAGTGTGTTTTCTTATTCCAACTTCAATATTGAAGTGTCTAAGAAATGACACTCAACAAAGATCCCTAGGATTGAATTTGGGGAGAGATAGGGGTTTCTTATTAATGAGAAACACTATTTTTCATTACTTAAGTTAAATAGCTGTGAATGAAAATACCATAGAAACTTTGGAATTATGGTCTATAAGGTCTAGTATGTGACCTTGAGCAAGTCTTCATCAATGTCTGTTTCCTCATCTGTAAAAGGGGGATCATAACCTGTCTCATAGGTTTGTCCAAAGGATCTGATATATTGATTGCATATAAAATTTTATAATAATGGTGGTTGACCAATAAAAGTTAAATATTAATTTGCAGAGTTCGCATGAGAAGTATTGCACTCAGACACTCAGTCATGTCTGACTCTCTATGACCCCATGGACTGTAGCCAGCCAGGCTCCACTCTCCATGGAATTCTCCTGGCAAGAATACTGGAGTGGGATGCCATTTCTTCCTCCTGGGGGTCTTCCCGACCCAGGGATCAAACTGGCGTCTCCTATGTCCTCTGCATTGGCAGGTGGATTCTTTACCACTAGCGCCACCTGGGAAGCCCCCATATGAGAAGTAAGTAAAATAATTATGGGGGGAAGCCCCCATAATGAGAAGTAAGTAAAACAACTGTATGCTGCTGGCACACAATGGACACCTAATAAATAGTACCTGTTCTTTTATTAGCTTCCCCGGTGCTCAGACAGTAAAGAATCCACCTGCAATGCGGGAGACCTGGGTTCGATCCCTGGGTTGGGAAGATCCCCTGGAGGAGGGCATGGCAACCCACTCCAGTATCCTTGCCTGGGGAATTTCCATGGACAGAGGAGCCTGGTGGGCTACAGTTCACGGGGTCGCAAGGAGTCGGACACAACTGAGTGACTAAGCACTGTTCTTTTACTAACTATTAAATAACCTTTTCCTCAGCTCACAAAGCCAGGCAAGTGAACAGTTCAACAATCCTGTCTGCTTCTGCTTTTGCACTTACGAGCAAGAGCCACTCCCTCTCCCTCCACCAAAATATCTGCCCTCCTCAGCACCGCAGCCCTCCACGAAGTCACCCCTAGATGACAGATACAGCGTCTGTCTCAGGCCCTCTCCCTCCCATGGTAATACCATGAGCACTCATGTGGGGGAAAGGCCCAGGCCCACAAAACGCACAGCCTCTAATCCAGTACATGTCACATAGGAAGTGCTTACTATTTGTTGAAGGCGTTAAGTGAGTGGATATATAAATAAAATACAACATAGCCTGAGGAGCAGGCTTACTCCTCCTTTTATACCCATGTAGTCACCAAAGAAATTGAAACACCTACCAAAAAACCCCAGCTTTTCTTCGTTGGCCCAAATTCTTCACTCCCAAGGTAAGCCTTTGTTGTATACCATAGAATATACATTTAGGAACATTCTAGAAAAGATATAGATCATAATGTAAACACTGGTCATCCTTAGATAGTGGAATGAAAGATTAATTTTGTTTCTGTTATATTTCTTGGATTTTTTGAATAGCAAAACAATAATGCTTTTTTGGAGATCATTTTTATAGTGGGCATCTTATCACTTATGGTTCATCTGTGTGAGATCATTGTATTAGTTTTGTCATGAACATTTCTCTTTTTATCTCTAATTTTTCTTTTTATTTATTCTTTCTAAATTTTCTTAATCTATAGATGCAGGATTTTTTCAGGGACATTTAAACAAATAAATCATAAGCTGAATGTGTATGTTCTCCTTTAAAGTTTGACAAAAGGAAGATGGATTTGATATTTGGGATAAAATCTGACTTCAGTTGTACAGTTAACATTCAGCTAATGATTCTTTATACCAG